GTTTATTTATTCCTGTGGTCAGTAAGTGCTGAGCAAAGCAGGAAGAGACGAGCAGTCTGGTTTTCTGCTAATGCAAATGCCACTGTTGTGTGGTTAGCAAATGGTTTCTGCTTAGTAGCACAAATGTGGCCAAAGAAGGAAGCAAGTGCTATATTTGCATGGCCAAGGATGCTGTTCCAGCCCACATCTGCTCAGATGCACACATACTTTGCTTATTTGTTAGTCTTTACTTTCAGGAATTACCATGCACAGCTCTCACAATCTACCTTCACTCAGTATGAGCTGTACCTAGTCCTCCTTTTGGTTGTGTTTAACCTCAGGAAGCACTTGGCTTTCTTTCCTGTTCCATGCCAGGATGTGTAGAATGAAACCCTGCATGTAGGGCAGTCATTGTATCTGAAAGATGTTCACTTTTGTTGAGAGAGTATCATTGTGAATAGAAGAGGAATTACTTCCCTCCAAAATACCAGGGCATCCTGCTACTCAAATCAGCATAAGGATAATTGGCATTTTACAATGGTGGAGGGGAAATTTGTCATTTTCTGAAGCTTTGGAGGTCAGATGAATTTCTCATTAAGAGGATCTTAGCGGTGTGGCAGAATGGAAGGGGAAGTTCTTTCTCCTTCACAAAACTTTCCCCCAGGAGATGGCTGCACCCCTCTGGGAGGTGGAGCTCAGGCACAGCAAACTGTGTTCAGCAGATTCTGCAAAAGTGTGTTTAGCCTGAAGGCAGTGGGATTTGACTATGGTTTTTAAATGTAACTCAAGCATATTGCTGCGTGAGGTGTTTTTATTTCCTTTGAACTGTTGTTTGGTACTGATAAGCTGTGTGGAAGTGTCTGGGTGAGCAGTGTGAACACACCTCCCCTTTCCAGGTCATGCTAGAAGACAAATTCCTTGGGCACCTCTTTTGGGTATCCTAGTAATGGATAAGTTTGAGGCTTCTTGCCCCCTCTGCTGCTGGCAACACTGGTTTGCCAAATCCTGTATTGAAAAGCCTCCTCCTTGCACACAGCATGTCCAAGGAAAAGTTTTAATTGCTCCCTCTGTAATGTCTTCCCACGTAAATAAATTACATGACAACAGTGACAACATAAAAATCAAAAGAAGAAAAGTAGGTCTGGAAGAAGTGGGTATTCAAATAAATACTTCACCTAGACTATTTTTTTTAAAAGGGTAGTTTCCTGGTGTCGTTTTCATGACTTGAGGAAAAAGACATAATTTGCACATCAGCCAATATTGAAATCTATGGATAAAAATTCCTAACTGTAACTGGGGTAAGATTCAAGCTTAACAGCCACTCTGTGGCTGTCACACACTGTGACTGTCAGCATGGGAGTGGGAACAGATACAATAAAACAACTAAACCAGAGTCTTCTTAAAGGACAAGAAGGAAAAGGACAGAAATTGAAATGAAAAAAAAAAAAATCCAGTTAGATATAGGGAAGAACTTTATTACTGGAGAGATCAACACTGGAACAGATTTCCAAGAGAAGCTGTGGTGTCTCCATCCTTGGGAATATTCAAACCCCAACTGGACATGGTGCTGGGGCAGCCTGCTTGGAGCAGGGAATTGGACTAGGTGATCTGCAGAGGTGTCATCTAACCTGAACTGTTCTGTGATTCTGTAAAATATTTGCTATTTTCATGTACTAGAGGATGTAAACTTTTGTCTAACAAGTTGCTAACTCAGAGTGCAGTAGGCAGACTGGGTTACCTCTATTGTCACAAAGAATGCTCAAATGCAGTTTTCACCTATTCTTTACATTCCCACTCTTTCATACTGATGTAATTTCATTTTCCTAAGTGGTTACATATGGAGGTGGGACTGAAACCTGGGTGTGCTATTACCAAGGCAGCTTTTTAACCACCTTGCTGTCAGGTTTGGGATTGCTCTGTTGTGTGGGATGCAATGCTGAATACTTTGTGTGCATACCAGAGCTAACTGTGCACTAGGTGAGTGAGGACGCTGTCACAGGATTTTTTTCAGTGTTGGCAGCTGCTGAACCTAATGGAAAAAGGCTGCTATGGAGATCAGTAAATATATGGATTCCACCTTTGACTCAGGCATTCTGCAAGTCACAAGCTGCTGTAGAGTATTTGTGGGAAGCTTCATTATATACTTTCCCTGTCCCTGTGTTCTACTCTAAACATCTGATATTGATTACTGATGGGATCTCTTGGATAAAATGGAATAGCTGCAACACAGAATTTGATAACTGGGCCCCATAACTTTATTTCCATTCAAAACTACCAGGTGTAATGGAACCAAATTCATTACCAGAGCAGGGGGGAGTGAAACTATGCTTTTCTTTGTGTGTATGCATATATTTTTAATAGCCCTCCACAACCTACATTTAAATGTCACAGGTTAGCTGCTGAATGACCTTGGATGTCATTGGTTTTCTCCAGTTTCCATAATCAAGACAGCAGCAACTCCTGAGCTTCTTAAGCCACAAAAAACTTCTGATCAAGCATTTTTAAGAACTTACAATAAAAGCATTTCAGTTACTAAAATTGTATTTAATGGCTACTGTCCTGTGTTATCTAGGAATCTGGTGCCCATGTTAGCTGGAAGTTGAGTGTTGAATATGCAGTGCTGGGTGTGTGCCAAGGTCTGGGATGCTGTTAATGCCATTGCACAAATAAGAGCAGAACATGAACCCAAAGTTTATGGTCAGGGGAATTTGAAGGATTGAAGAATCAGTAAAAATTGTGCCAATTTTACCACTGAAGATTACAGCCCAAAGTGGGTCCAAACCTGAGGGATGTTTGTTGGATTGGAGGGTTTGGATTTATGGAGTCTGTTTTTTGACCTGGGCCTGAACTTCATTCACGCTTAAGTTGGATGGAAATTACCTGTTTGTTAAATTGTTCATAACCCTTCATAGTAAACTTACAATGGAATTGTGGTGAGATAGAAGCTCTTTTGGAAGGCAAACACTATGAGAGAATATTTCAGTAATTTTATTGATATCACAAGTTATGTTGAACTTGATTCAGAAAAGTGTT